TATTGAATTACAGAGAAATGTGTATAAAACAACGAACAAGACATGTAATTTACAACTACAATCACAAGGTAGCCCCGCCTTAAAGTCCATACCCGAGTCATGATACTATAAATGGACCATCAGTTACTAAAGAACATCATGCTGTATGGAAGAAGACTTTAAACTAGACACTGAGACCATAAACTCATTAAGAAACTGTTTACTTCTTTTTTTGCCAGACCTAGAAGCTCTGTCCACTAAATATATAATATATATATAATTAAATGGAAAGATAATACAGTTGTATTGATCTTCTCCTTTAATGTCACATGTTTACTTCTGCATTAGCCCAAGTAGGAAAAAAATTACCAGGTTTCTATTTAATTGCTTATTTAAAGTGGCAGTAAATCGACTTCAGGGGTATGTGGTTGAGAAGTTTTTGCACTGTGCTGGCCAAAGCTACCAGGCAAGTATGCTGATGTGCAGCTAGAGGTCAATTTCAATGTCAACTCAAACAAGCACAACATCTTATAACACAGAACTTTGGCACAGTAAAAATGTATATTGTGACAGCTCTGTAAACTGTTTAGATCTGATATCAGGGGCATATTTCATTCTTGATTTCACAGAACGATGCAAATAGCAGCGACAGACGTCTCATCTTTCATTTTGGAGTGTCTTTCCTGCAAGCTGTTATCTCAACATTTAATCAATCTCACAATGTTTGCTCCAAAAGTGACAAACTGTGCACTGACACTGCGTAGGTTTTAGGTTCCCAAGTTACCCCATCTCCCAGCTTCCCCTGCACACGTCTATCACTCCCCTAATTTTAATGGGATAAATGAGGGCAAAGTGGAAAAGCATCAGGCCCTGAACACAATGGCAAGCAATAACTGCTGTGCTCCATTTAGCACGTCTAATTTGACATTTCTGTGGAGGAACTGCAGGCGGCGAATTTGACGCTTCAGCTGTGCTGCCGCATGCATTTCTACCCAGAGATAGGTAAAGCAACTTGATTATTTTCTGGTCACAGCCTGGGACCGGTTACATGTAAAATGATTGCTACCAAGTTTTGAATTGTAGTCATGCTGTTTCTACTTTGTTACCTGTAATCAGCCATCTCTTGCCATCCTGTTACCAACATGCACCTTTTCCAGTAAACCCTTATAACTGAACAACAAACCAGCTCATTTCTCATGGTCTCTCGAAACAACCCATATGAAGGTTTTCTAAAGTCTAAAAACGCCTTAACGACATAATACTTTGAATCTTGGTCAGTAACATCCAAAACAAGTTTCAGAAAGGGTTCATATCAGATTTTTCTTGTATGTTTTTTTAAATTGAGGATAGAACAAAGTCATGTTGACTGTTGCAACAGTCTTCGACCAAAAAAACGTGTTTTTAGAGTGTAGAAATTTCAGTTTAAAGACAACCTCAACTTTTTAATGTTAGCCTATCACATATATGCTTGCACACATTCCTGGTTGATTACTTTTTAACATGAATGTGTAATTTCTTTGCCTTTATTTGAGACCTGACAGTAGAGACAGACAGGAATCATGGGGAGAGAGGCATACAACAAAGGAAGCAATAAAGGTTCCAGTTTAGAGCCGGTTCCAAATTGTCTGATCAATCAGAATCTTATGCCTTTGAGCTTATTACTTCATTTTATCAATGCTGGCATGTTATTCTGACAGCTGCACATTGCAAAACAATGACATCAAACTGCCTATACTGCTGGACTCTTGCAAAGAGGAGGAGTCATGTGGGCAATGTGGCTTCATTTCAGGAAGAACAGTCCTCCAATCTTTCCAGATTTGTCCAGATTTCTTTCCTTACAAGATTATAAACATGAAAAATAAAGCTAAGCATTCAGCCCAGACACTGAAAATCTTTTACTAGTTAGGCTTTGTGTACTCTTTACAGCTGGCTTTGCTACTCTTATGTTTTCTTTGTTTCTGCACCTCTGCCGAGATTTCAGAATGGGACTTCTCCTTGAACCACATTTGGTTAGACACACAGGTAATCAACTAAAAGGAAGAGAAAACATTGAATTTCTCTGTACATTTGTGTTTTCAGAAACTTAATCTCAGCCAGTCACTGACAAAAACAAGCACTGTTTTTCACAGCTGCAGGCTGCAGCGCTCTCACTCAACACTGGACCAAAATCAAAACTTGTTGTCCCTCATTAGTCACTTTGACACAAAAACATGAGAAAATAAGGTTGTAAAATAAAAAGTTACCCTTTAAGTTACTGCTAATGCAAATCAAACATTTCATACTGCTGCAACTTCACCAAACATGGGTTGACTTTTATCATGTAGTCACAGGAAGTGCAATGTGTCTTTGAGCTTGATGCTGGCTGCCTGCTATCATTTATCAAAAATACATCTACAAAACAAGACAACGGTCATTTTTTTTGACAGCGGATCAGTTTGAATTATTGCAGGGAGTAATGGCACAAGAAGGAGCAGCCACACTATTGTTTGATGAGGAGCTGCAGGCGACACGCTGCACACCTCCAACTCAGAAGGTAACCAGTTCCTTTCACTGCAGACTCACGCCAGCACAAAATCAGATAATGGTTGCTTACAGAATAATGGAAAAAGGCCAGTTATTGCCTTGCTTTATTAAGTCAAAAACTTGTTGGTGCTACCAACTACAAGTCGCTAAATCAAGCAGAACAGACATTGTGAAGATTACTACTTTAAGATGTCCTGGACAAGCCCCCTATTGGTCACAACCTGGCTCAAGATTGGACAAAGTAGGGCACAACGCACATGAGTTGTAACTAAAACTAAGTTTATTTTACATAACTAAAAGAGAAATTAATCAAAAGACAAACCAAGCACAGCAAAACCAAACAGGGTGGAAGCCAGGGGAGAGAGAGTCTGATTGCCTCCAGTTTATATAGTCTTGCAATCAGAACAGGTAAACTGAATCTCCCGCTGAGTCGCTGAGTTGATGTTGGTTCAAACATATTGACCATGAACTCATTCAGCATCCATTTTTTTTGTTATTATCATTATTAGTGTCCTTTACTGCAGTACAGTGCATTGTGCAGGAATATGATGCCGCAGTCATGGATTCTTATGTATGAAGTCAGTGAGTTTCTGGCAGCAAGCAGAGCCTTTGAGGCATTGAGCATGATCAAGAGGTGATAACGCATCTCCTGCTGTGTTCATCTAACAAACCAAAGCAACATCAAGCACACCAATCTGCCTTTTCCTCAACTTCACATCATTTGAGAATTAAGAGGAATCTGAGGCATGCATATTTTTTTTATGTCTGTTAGCTCCAAGGAAAATTGCAGATTAAAAGTAAGAGCAGATACTCTTTTCTTGGACATCATAAGCCTTTAAATAGAAGTGTGCCTAATTCAAAGTCACACACCCAGGGACTAAGTTGAGAACATGGCCACTGTCCAGGAATAATTAAAAGCAGGAGAACAGACAGACTCCCATGTTGACGGGGTAGAAAGAAGTATTAAAAATAACAGCAGGGGAGGGAGACAGAGAGACAGAGGCTGTGCTCACACTGCAGCTGTAAGGGCCTCTGTTGTGATTTCCACTCATTAATATGTAACACATCTGAGGTTCTTCAATAGCAAAAAGTAAGTGGCGGAAAAGCAGATGTCAACATCTTTGACTATCAGTTCATGTCAACATTCAGCTCTCAAAATATGTCAGTGAGACATTAATTAAATTGTACTTCATTTAACCAGCGACAACTGTCAAATCTTTTGTCACACTGGCACTGAGCAGCAATGGGGAGGATGACGACGAGTAAAAAAGAGAATGGTAGAAGAAAGGGAAATGCTGTAGCTGACTGTTTGGGGAGATGCTTCAGTTTAGTCGGAAGGAGAAGACAAAAACTGTAACTGAAAAGTGTGAATAACATACAAAAAAGTAAAGAAAAACACTTTCATAACACCGCTGTCAGTTCTTATGAAGGTTTTATCTGGTGACCTCATGCGATTTGTAATAACTTCAGATGTTCTTAATCTTGTGGAAAATCTGCCATGGCCATAATCTTTAGAATAAAAAAATTCCACTTCAAATTACATAATATTTAATCAAACACAGACATCTAACAAATGTACCCCTGCATGAATAAGAATGTGTTTCTCAATGTTTTATTTTGTATTTTTTCACACTTTTCCCATCTTTTATAGACAGAAGTTCAAGGAAATTATTAATGAGCGTTTTAATAGAATTTTGAGTCCAACTTCGGGAGACACATTTCATTTCAGTCTCATCTGGAGATAATCCTCGGGATTTGCTCAGTAAATTTGGGTGAATCACAGGCTTCATTTATCCTGTGAGCAGAGGCGCAGCCAGGGGTGGTGCCCTTGGTGCTCACCCCTATCAGAGCCCAAACGTGATAGGTAGCTGGCTTGTTAGTATCATGGATAAATGACTGAATGGGACTAATGGGTAAAGGCCCATGTCCTCTGGAAAAAACCTCTGTATGAAGTGACTGTTAACATTTCTTGTTGCAAAGTCAATCAAATGAACAGGAAGAGATACAAAATGACTACAAAGACCCGCAGAATAACAACAAAGAGGTGCAAAATGAGTACAAAGAGGAGCAAAACCACTACAAAGTGACACAAAAAAATTACAGCCTCAAAACAGCCACAAAACGACCACTAACGAAAATTAGTACAAAGGGACCCTAAACAGCCACAAAGAGACGCAAAACGACTACAATGAGACAAAATGTCTGGGGATTCTTGCTCTTATGTTGTTTGTGTCCAGGGGCCCATTGTCTCGTAATCTGTCCATGGCTGTAGGCTACTTAGGAGAGACCAATAGCAGCTATTAATCAGAATATTAGAATAGAACTTCTTGTCTTTTTTAAGTGTTTGTGTGCAATGTGGTCCCTGGACAGTGTTTGGTCCAAAGCGAGCAGGGCACTACATCCTGGAGAGGATAACATCATCCAAAGATAAGATATGCAAACATTTGGGGAGAATAAAGCACACACAACGAGGAGGGTGTGACTGCAGAGGCTCCTACCTGCTCTTTGACAGAAGCCAGGAGGTTGGTGGTGGTGGTGGTGCTGCCGCTGGCGTTCGACGGAAGTCCATGACCGCTCGGCCCCTCTCGTACCACCATGGGCCCTTCCCCCTCTGCGTCCCCCTCCTCCATCTCCTCCACCTCCCCGCGATAGTCCAGAGCCGGCTGGCTGCTGAGGCGCCCTCTCTGACCCTGAAGAAGGACTACAAGCCGGTCAGGATGTGGACAAGGAGGAAACAGAAAATCTCTAGCACAACCCCCTCTGAGTGTGTCAGAGTTTACAGGGACCAGATCACCTACTATAATAATCGTGCAGGGATTCACTTTGACCTCAACCTTTGTGCTATTTTGTTTGTAAAACCTCTCTAATATCCCTGCAGGGACTCATATGGTGACCTTAAGATGTCACTGTAATATCCCTACAATATAGATACAGATGCAGTTAGACTGTGGCTTTTTATGCATCTATAGTATCTGTTTCTATAGGGATTGATAATGATAACAAGATTACAATGCTTACAATATACATATATTTAATCTCCAATGGTATTATGAGGCTAGTGGGGGTTTAACCCTTCACTGACGCACATCAATGCATATTTCCCCATAAATGCAGCTGCGATACTTTTATCGTTAAGGTTTTTGAATGGCATTTGCAGGTGTGCATGCACGCTGCACGGGAGGCATTTAACAGTCACGTTCATGGTTTTCTTCTTTTTCCTCCATAACAGAGCTCGAGCTGCCCGTGATCAGCCTTCATCGCATCCTACACGCAGTCTGTCTGTCAAAACGTGCACATCAATCACTCAACCGCCATCTGGCAGCCAAGGACGAGGTCACGCAGACTTACCGGACCGGAGACCGGGAGGGGGGAGCGCGGCTGCACTGGAACCGAGCCTCCCCCCTCTCTCTTTCTCTCCGTGTCGGCTTCACGCAAACCGAACCCGCCTGCTGGAAAAGCGGCTGCGGCTGTCAGTGTGTGCGACTCACCGGCCAGATGTTGCTGTTAGAAGCAGGCCACAGCTGGCTCGATCCGTCCTGTTACGCATCCATCCTCCTCCTGCAGGCGGCGGTGACAGCTACTACATTTCCCACGCGCCGCGACGCGACAAATAAACAAAACAAACAACAGTCCCGTGCGCGTCCACACACTTCTCGTGCAATATTGTTGTTGTTTTTTTCTTTCTCTTATCCGGTGTTGGGGTTTCAATGCACTCAACTACCCCTGGCGTCCGCGCGGCACCCAGCCTCCCACCCACCTACCCGCCCTGCCACTATTACCGATCAGCGGCGTGACGTCACCATGCGGCTATGGATTATTTTCCGATACAGGGATCGATCAGCGGCTGGTTTTTTTGCGCCGTTGCGCGCGTCGCTGTTTGCGGCTGTGTGCTGTGTGTGAGGATGCAGCTCCGTGCAAAGAGCTGCTGGCTGGAGAGGAAGATGCTCCCTGTGTGTGTGTGTGTGTGTGTGTGTGTTTTTTGTGTGTGTTCGTGTGTGTGTGTGTGTGTGTTTTCACCTGCCTCACTGTAGGCCTGACTGGTCGTTGTTACATCTTATAGTAAAAGTTTATGAAGTGCTTCATTATAATGGAATATATGGAAGCTCATTTCTGCCAAGATTGTGCTTTTGTTTTGTTTTTAGTTAAAAATTATTAAAAAAACAAAAAACATTACATGTTGAATCAAAATTATGAGATAGGAAGTTAACATTTTTACATGTTAAAGGTTAAATGGTTATAAATACAGATCAATTTCCTCACTTCACAGATAGATGGACAGAATCAGTTACATATTTTTTAATATGTTAAATTTTTTGGAGTGAATTTGCTATTTATTTGTTTTAATAATTAGTTAATATTATATGCACAATGTTTAATGTGTAATAAACTATTTAAATTGTTATAATTGCTGAAGTGAAAATTCGTCCGTGGTTTGGGCACAGGCACAGAACTTTTTCGGGCTCAAATTGTGTCGGATCTGCCTTTTTTTCAGCCCTATCAAAGCTCCAAAGAACGGTGGCCACGAAATGTTTGTCACTACTAAATGTGGCTTTAAGTGAAAATCTTAATTAGGTAATTTATTGTTTCCTTCCTTTCTACTTCATTTAATTCTTTACTTCCTTTGGTTCCTCTCTTTAAAAAAAACAACATTTAGGAGGATCTACTGTCAGAAATGGATTATATTATTCACAAGTATGTTTATATTAGTGTATGAATCACCTGAAATAGGAATTGTTGCATTTTTGTTACCTTAGAATGAGACGTTTTTATCTTCAGACGCTGCAGGTCGCCTTCCATGGAAGCTGCCACACAATCCTACACACTGACTGTTAATTTATCCTTTACTGTCTTTTTATTTTCACGCTACACAAAGTTCTTTATTTTGCTTAATTAAATATGGTTTCAACATTAGACTGAATGAATTTATGTAAATATGGTCATTAGAAAACTTAAACTATCATGTGCGAGTGATTTCAAACTAGAAAGTACAATTTCCTTCCCGCAATGATGTTTTTTTTTTTAAAAGAAGAAAAACAGCACACAAGTACATGCACATGCCCATTTATTTAAATGATCATTGAGAGTCTGTGCGCAGTCATCAAGATAAGTAGGGTCTTACATTGAGTTGTGTCAGGTGGATTTCTCCTCACTACAAACACTTGAGGGATCTTCTGTCTAAAAGCTGCCTTCTTCAGTCTTCTCTGGTACATTGGCATTTGAGAATCTTAACTAATACCACTTGCAGATAAAAAAAGCAAAAGGGAAAGAGACATACAAGTAACAAGACTTCAGGGAGGACTTTGCAGAGTTAAGCCACTAAAAGTTCCCGCTGTTGGTTTGTAAACTGATATGCCACCAACTCACTGGAAGAAGAGGAAGAAACTTGATGATAACACTGTTTTTAACTGTTAATACTGCACCTGAATATTCATCAGGTCATAAAAATAAACCCGTTCTTCAAAGCAAACAATATCAAAAGATGATACATTCGCCATTCTTCATACAGCAAAATAAATTCCAGTGTTACTAAACACAATAAAGCGTCTAGTTCGGACAACACTTGACACTTTTAAATACCACAGACAGATAAAGTATGTATCACTGCTTAAATATAGTGTGTTGAAAATAGTGACAACCCCTAAAAATATGTTGAACACGACACATCTGTTGTAAGAGTTTTAAAGTAAATTCTTTTCAAATGAGGGGTCTGGTATTGCGGCATCATTTTTGAGAGGCAGCTGACGAACGTGTTGGATTTATAGGACAAACTCGGAGCTTTAATCTTGCTGTTATACTCAAATAAATCATCCTGATCCTTTTCATTTTAAGAGCATTTTCTTCACCTGACAAACGTCCCTGTAGGATTAGGAGTTTACTGTCACCATCAGGTTCACAGTAACGGCTAAAAAAATTATAAGTGTTAAATGACTCAAGGCTAAACTGTCCATCAAATGTCAGACATTTCTTTGAAGCTATCTAGACAGTCAAGCTATTTACGCAACCACACAACCAAAGCAGAGGAGATGGAAGAATTTCCACTCTCTGCTGTGGTTTTTTTTTTTTTTTTTTTTTTTTTTTTTTTTTTTGGGGGGGGGGGGGTATTAAGACCAACTTTGTGAGCTATTGTCCAAACTAATCTACAATAAAAGTTGAACTGCACAAAGCAAAGAAATGGAGACATTTGGTTTCTAAAGGGTCGTGGTTCACAGTCAACAATCCCTTCAGGAAGCTGCGTTTGTGACAACAAATCCAACAAATCCCTGTGAATTCTGCTTTACCTTGCAATTATGTCCAATCCAAATCTGACCAATCAAAAACTGTACAAAAAATTAAAACTAAATCATAACTATTTGTGCAATTTTCACGTACTACTGCTTTTTTTTTTAAATGCCTAAAATATCTTTTTTTTTTAAACGAATTCGTCATTTTAGACAAAAAATAAAATTCTATAACTAACATAACTTAAGACTTCTGTGAATTCAATTTAAGACTTTTTAAGTGAGAATGTTTGAGTAAAGACCTTAATTTTAAAACACTTACATTAGAAATGTAAGTATTTAGAGTCTTACATTTAGGCATTTTGATTACTTTTGAGAATTTACTGTAAAAACTGTGATTTTCTAATTACAAGCATTTTGATCAAGTAACTTAAACTGCTTTTTCTTGTGCCTTTTCTTTGTTAACTACTCAAACCACCAGCAAATGCTTTTCACTGCTCCCAAGACTGAAGTTGCAAAAACGTTGCCGCAGTAACCATTTCTCTCATCTGAACAGAATAAACTCAAAATGGATAAACACGTCATGAGATGGAGGGTTTGGTGTAACCAGGCAGTGCACTAACACTAAGTTCTCCTACTGATGTCTACAAAGTCAAAACACTGCATGAGCAGGGAAAAACTGCTTGGTTGGCATGTTCAGAACTCACTTTTTAAAACTCGTCCGCCCTAATCTTCACAGGGAATTACACCGGACTTGACTTTCAGCTTGTCAGTCTGCTGAAGGTGGCCGTTTCCCCTAAATTCCCCAGCTTTATCTGTTGCACCAGTTTTTGGTTATTAGGCTGGATGGGAACGAGGCACCAAAGGGCTTAAACATGCAGAATAGACCCAATTTAGTTCTATTATTAGCAAGCTTCTGACATATTTGGACTGGCATCAAACACTTGGCATTGTAATTGACTTACTGATTAGCTTCCTAATTAATAAAGAGTAACTTGTAGCTCCTGCTGGCATTCAAAATCTAAAACAACTAGTAAAACTAGTTTTAGAGTTTTTTTAATACGAGGCATTTTATTCGGATTATTGGACGAAAGGCATTCTTAAAAATTAAAAACGATGCATGTTTCTTGATTTTACGGACTCAAAAACAACAATATTGTAGGGGGAATAGGAGGGAATAGCAACCTTTTGCAGAGCAGCAACCTAAAAAAATCACTTTTGGCCCCTTTTTAAACGAACAAACCGTGGCGGCTGTGGCCATCAGTATGCACTTTGGCATGTGGTCACAGCTGCAGGGTTGCTGTCTAAACGAATGACTGTATCCACCCCCGCAGCCAAAAACACAAACCTCTAACATCCCGTTCAGAGAGCAGGAGCCCTAGGTCAAAACAAATAATATGTCACGTCACTGGAACCACATTTCATTAGCACAAACACTTTTAAAGTTCACTAACTCGATCTTCATACAACCAGGTAGGGAAACTAACACCAGCCACCAGCCACAAGCAGGTGAATTTAAGCTTTTGCTCCACTTTGAGGCATCATTTTGGGTTCAAAATCAAACTGGTTGGTGAAATTAGTTTTCACTCAACCAGCCTCTGAGGACCCAAAATGTTAGTTTCCTGCCCTGCGAACAACTCGTCTTTCAAATCGAGAAATACAGAAAAAAAAAGAAAAAAAATACGACGAGCACTGACACATCTACTCAACAAATTCTGTGTCAATTATTTTACAAATTAAAGCAAATAAATAGAGGACAGTACCTTTGCATAAACATGAGTACAAAACCTAACAGTCAGTGGATGTACAATAAATGTGAGTGAATCCGAGAGGGGCGGAGTGACGTGTTCGTGGATTTGTGAAACCATGAACCAGTGTTAGGACGACCCCCCTGCAACCCTTGAGACGAGAACCTGCGCGCACTACTCCAGCTCGTCCACGTCCTCCGTCTCAATGGTGCTCGTCTGTTCCGAAGTCACACCTGGAAAACAAAGCAAACATCAACATCTGAAGCAAAGAAAATTGTCCACCGAAACTCCAATAAATCATCGCAGATTCAAACCTTTTCTGGGTCCAACTTTTCCAATGTGAGCCTAGCACATAGCATATCTACGTACCCTTAGGAAGGGTCAATGAAAAGACCTGAAAATATCGTACTTGAGGCATCGTCGTCATTAGAAGACTTCTTCTTCTCCTCCACATAGCCATGACTCAGCAGCTTGGACATGCTCACCGGTGGAGCCTTCTTATCATAACACCTGAAGAGGCGACAGGAGACAAAACCATCAGTATGACTCTCCTGATACTGAAAAGAAAGAACTTGAGGCTTTCACATCTCTCATTTATTAATTAATCATACTGAGGATCAATTCATCGTCAACATTAACAAATAATGAGCAGATTAATCGATACTGCAAATAATCGTTCATTGCAGCACTACTATTAAAAGTATTACGTTTAAGTGAATGGTATGGGAATCAAAAAATATGAGTTAATAAAGAGAAATATCAATAAAGTGGTTATATTTAGATGTCTAGATGGGATTTACTCACGTTCTCTTGTATTTGCTGGCCATGGACAGACCCTCCATCTGATTGGCAACGCCATCAGGAGACACCTGTGGGACGGAAAAGAGGTTATTTGTGTTGTTACAAGCTGAACGCAGCAGCTGCATTATTAAACAAATAAATGTGACTGATTCACTTTATTGACAAATATACAGGCAAGTAACAGAGCAAAGGATGAAACGATGGAAGAAAACTTCATATAAATGGAAAGGAAAATGATTGAAGAACTGGTATGAAAATAAACCGGCGTCTCAACTTTCTGCTACATATTTAACAGATTGTAACCTGACGGATATAATGTACATTCCCCTTTAAATACGACTTCATGTGAGGAAGATATCCAACACATAACATCTTTAAAGCAGTAAAAATTGTTGCTTTCTATGCATTTTTTTCCTCCTTTAAACAAGGTTTGCAATTACAGTATGCAACTTTTACTTTTACTGCTTTTAAGCCTCCACAAGTCTACCAAGAAATACGTAGCACACACGCACATACGTACGTTTTTGGAAAACACCAGGTTTTTAGTTACTTTGATATAAAAGAAAAAGAAGATTGTATGAAATGTACTTTACCTGAAACGTTTATCAATGTTTCCTAAAAGCTATCACATTGCCAAAGCACCGGCAGAAAATGAAAAGTTTAACCAAACTGCGAATGCGACGATGGAGCAAAATCAGGTGACAAAAGAAAAGGTGATGGTAAAATGTAAAAAAAAATAAATAAATATTAAAAGGATGAAAGACATCGAAACGTATCAATGCTGGGGGTGACTAGTTTGGTCCATTCACCTTCTCCTTATCAGGGGAAAATCTATCAGTCTCTCTTTCCCAGGATGAACCATTATCAGTGCCAAACGGTGCAGCCAGAGTACGCATGCCCGCCTTCATCTGGCTGTCGGGAGACGTTGCTTTGCTTCCGCTGTAAGCACAAAACCACGGTGACATACGATGTGAGATCACTGCGAGCCACTTATCACATTCTGGGAAATGCTGGGTGTGGCCCGTACGCTTGCCAGCTGCTTTATCTGGCCCTTAGGAGGATCATGTGGATTATAAATGATGTCATCAGATTTTTCCTTTAATGAGCTTCATATCTGTTTAACAATCAGGGTTCCTACACATTTTCCCTTTCAGAATTCCAGACTTTTCCAGACTTCGTATGCTATGGAAATATGCATTTGAAAGATATTGCCGCGTGGATTTGGTTCAGTTATAAAACACTTGGAGCTTTGCAGGCTGTGACGTTCAGACGCAGAGGCAGCGTTCAGTTGCACGGCGTACGATATCGCGATATAACACAATTACACCTTGAAGACTTGGATCCTTAAGAGTGTTAATAAATAATAATAATAATAAAGAAATACTACGACAGTACTCCTATTTGACCTTTTAATATTGTCAAGTAGATGTTTCAGGCGAGACACGCAAGCTGTGGAAGTGAGTCTTGTGCGAAAACAGAAATTCTGAATTATATATTTTAGAAAACAGAACAGGGGCAATTCAAATATTTTGTCACACTTATCCAGACCTGGAAATGACTAAAATCCAATTCCATACTTTTCCATACTGCGTAGGAACCCTGCAACCTCCTCTACACTGATCAACATAATGGAAGACAGGCGGTGTGGTAGGAAACAGACAGACGTTTAAGGCTTTTTAATCACATCGTGAAACATGTTAGATTTCTTACTCGTGTCTCATCAGACTTCTTACCTCTTTGACTCATCACCACCAAACCAGCTAGTTGGTGGATTGTACATCTTCCTCGGTTTGTCATCATCAGCATCAACATCATGACTCAACAGCCCTGCAAGGAGAGGGGGGGCACAGTGTTCAAATCACTGCCAGGAATTGTGAAGCATTGCACTGAATCTCACCTTTAAAAGCACAATTTGAGATCTGATTTGCAGTCTTATGCAGCTCAAGGGTTAAATAAGTCTTACAATCTGTCTTTGAGGCAGCATATGTGAGAATTCACAGTAGGCTTCTTTTATTCTGCCCACTATTCTCCAGTGAAGTGTGCTTAACAAAAATAACTCAGCAGCAGAAAAATATTATTTCCACTTTGGTTAAATGGAAGTTCTATTGATTCCAGTTGAGGCTGTAGGAAATGCCGATATATACAGTATGACGATATAAAAACGTGTATTGTTTTAATTATTTTTGCTTTATTGCTCATTTATTTGAGTTCATATGAGAAAAACAGAAGCTCTGAAGGGGTTTGATGAGGCAGGGTTGCAATGGAAAGCAATGAAAGAGTTACCGGGTCCACCCCCCGTACCAGATAACACTTTTCTCTCTCTCTATGTCTGTTTCTCTTGTTCTGTGTTTCTCTTTCTCTATAAAATGATTAAATGGGTCGCTGGGCATCAAAATACCTGGGTGAGCCGCCTAAGTAAAGTCTTTAGTGGGAAACAGGTTCTTCATAAAAGGAAAAAACCAAATATGAGTAAGTAATAAGTTGAGTATCTAATTAGAAATGTAATAAAGTTTTTACTTTTTATTAATCGTAAATTGAAAAATAATCGGGATAAGAAATGACAGTTGTTTGCAGTCATGTGAAAACAGACTAAAAACCTCTTTTGAGGCCTCAATGAATAATTGAGTCAGACACATCGCCAATTCAGAGAAAAACGTGTTTGGGGAGGTCGCAGTGACTTTGACCACTAAAATCAGTTCATCTTGACGGGGCAGATCTCGAGAAATATTCATGAGGCAGCCAGAGGGTAACATGGTCACAGGGAGATCCGCTGCACCCAATACGGTCTGAATGTGCACCGTTATCTTACCATGGTCTGAATATTATTATACGCTGTCATATATGGTTGTTGCAGGGTTTTTAATATTCTTGTATGCTCTTTGTGCAGAGCAAATTCACCTTGGGGCAATTTAAAACAGCCCTTTTGCACTTTTTCCAAACAAACAAACAAACAATGATGTGAGATGACAAACAATTTCAGCCATAACAATGGAAGCTACGACCCATAAAACAAAACGTAACAGCGAACATTTACAGACATTTCCTACCAAGTGAGCCGGCTTTCCATCCTGACGAGCATAAAACATTCATGTGGAACTCAACACTGAACTCTGAACTGCTTTTCCCCTGATAACTGGAGTCAGCGATGTTGCAGTTTCAATAAACAAAAGGGGCTGTTATGTTTTCCCGTAATGCACAGGATCCCTGTCTTTCATGTTGTGGGACGGTGGGCCATTTGTTCAAGATTTGCATTTCAAAGAGCTGAGCCACATCAAACGGATCAGCTGGGATGTGTTTTTTACTTTTAAAATATGAGGACAGACTTCCACTGTTTTGGTTTACTGTACAGGAGGATGCTTGTCACATTTCTTCATCTAAACGTGTGAAAGGAGACATTTTTTGTTGCAGCAAAGCAAGAAATCACCCGATATTGAAGCAGAATCTTTTGTCGTAAGCGTTTAAAGTCTGTCATGAAAGGCCCTGAATGATAAAACGTCACATTTTAAGTTAAAACAAACATTTACCTTTGTGTCCACCCCCCTTGGCAAGCTTGACGTAGTCTGAGTCCGTCGCAAATATCCCAACTCGCCGCCCGCTGACCCTCTCCGCCGGAGTGCTTTCATCAGCACTCTGGGACAGACCAGGGATCTGGGAAGTCGGTCCAGTAACACCAGAGTTCACAACCCCGGGCTTTATGCCTGCAATGATGTGAGAATTACATCCCCTTGCTTTACTACGTGGCTCCTAACGCATGTATTTAAGGTAAAAATACCTATATTAAGTTCTAGAAATGTTTACTTTCAGCTTGCCTTACATGTAAATACTTACTAAAATTAATTATGTCCTTACCACCGGGCTTGGTCCTTCGATGGTTGGGTACAGCGGCATTCATTTCAGCTGAAGACTCAACGCAATCTGATGAACAAAGGCAATACAGTTATAGTGCGTTACGTGCACAGTAAAGTAGAAATTTTACAGCTTCCTCGCTTGTTAGCAAATATGAGATATGACATGAATGAAGGTTTGAATTAGCAGTAGTTGTTTTTTAAATATAAACACTTGTTGCACATTAAATTCTTTATTTTCAAAGAAGTTTTGCTCATTTTTTTCCTCACCCATCTTCCACCACAATGGACAGAGAAGGGCAGTAGCCTAAAACCATTAAAAGACATTTTGGAGAAATAATTGTTTAGTATATGATATGGCATGACAAAAAAAAAGCCCAAAACACTGATAAAAGACAGCAGATTGTGTGAAAGAAGCAGTTTAAGGAGGTTAACTAACAGCAACGCCCTCTTAAACCATCATTCCTCTTAATGGGAGTTTGGCCTTGTCTGTCTTTTATGAAGCACAGCGGCCTGACTGCGGCCTTTGCGTCGAAATAACAACAACTACGATGCTTTTTTAAACACAATTAACACCATTTGTGCACATTAAACACGGTATACTACCTAATAATTAAAGAAACAGCTCATAAAACAAGAAAAAAAGGACATTTAAGAGGTAAAAAAAAAAAAAAAAGAGGAGGACCACACTTATACACGCACGTTAACTGGCGTGAAAATGTAGTTTGACCACACACACGCAATGTATTAGTCTATACACGAAAGCACAAGATGTTAGAAAGGTTATAAACGTATCTTTTATATATTTTGCAGCACAGTTTAATTTAGCCAATGCAGCTAACAAAGCCTTGCAAACTCAACTAGCCGCCGCAGCAGCAGCAGCGTCTTTTTATCCAACAATAACTGAATTCACGTCGCGAACAACTCTACTTTTTACGCAGGCAGCTGAAGATAACACTGGCAGAACATCGTATATCTTACAAGGTGGGTTGTTTGTTGTTTAGTTGTTTTATCTGAGCGGCTTTTTGTCGCCGGTTAGCTTTCCTCTTGTTCTGCAGACGGGGATGGACCGCGCACACTTCCGGTGGCACCTGCTGCCGACTTCCGGTACGCCAAACCCAAAGATCGTCTGTGACGCGGGGGGAACGCTGACGTCGTTTTGTAGGCTGAGAGGTTCGTGGCTGTTCTGTCGTCAATGTGTCAATGTGGCATGATTCGTAGTCGTAATATTACCAGAATAAAGTCATAATATTACCAGAAAAATCTAATATTTACCAGAATAAAGTATAATATTACGAGAATTAAAGTCATAACATTACGAGAATAAAGCATTTAATATTACCACGGAATAAAGTCATAATATTACGAGAATAAGGTCATAATAGTAGGTCACGAGATAAAGTCGTAACATTACAGAATAAAGTCATAATATACGAGAAATAAAGTCATAATATTACCAGAATAAAGTCATTAATATTACGAGAATAAAGTCATAACTTACGGAGAATAAATCATGACATTACGGAGAATAAAGTCATAATATTACCAGAATAAAGTCATAATATTACGAGAATAAAGTCATAATATTACGAGAATTAAATCATAATATTACGAGAATAAAGTCGCAACATTACCAGAATAAAGTCGTAATATACGAGAATAATCATAATACGTAGGTCTAGTGAAATAAGTCGCAACTTTACGAGAATAAAGTCATAATATTACGAGAAATAAAGTCATAATTATTACCAGAATAAAGTTCATAATATTTACGAGAATTAAAGTCATAACATTACGAGAATAAAGTCATGACATTACCGGAGAAAATCATAATATTACCAGAAATAAAGTCATAATATTACGAGAAATAAAGTCATAATATTACGAGAATAAAGTTCACTAATATTACTGAGAATAAAGTCATTAATCATTTACGAAATAAAGTCGGCAACATTACCAGTTAATAAAGTCGTAATATTACGAATGAATAAAGATCATAATTATATCTACGTGAATAAATCGCAACATTACGAGAATAAAGTCATAAATATTACGAGAATAAAGTCATATTATTTTACCAGGAATAAAGTCATAATATTACGAGAATAAAGTCATAACATACGAGATAAAGTCATGACATACGAGAATAAAGTCATAATATTACCAGAATAAAGTCATAATATTACGAGAATAAAGGCATAATATTACGAGAATAAAGTCATAATATTTACGAGAATAAAGTCATAAATATTACGAGAATAAAGTCCGCAACATTACCAGAATAAAGTCGTAATATTACGAGGAATAAAGTCATAATATTACCAGATAAAGTCATAATATTATGAGAATAAAGTCATAATATTACCAGCACTAAAGTCATAATATTACGAGAATAAAGTCGCAACATTACGAGAATAAAGTCGTAATATTACGAGAATAAAGTCATAATAGTAGGTCTACGAGCTTTTTTCCTCATTAAAACTACTTTATTCTCGTAATTTCCCCACAAATATATATTTTTTCTTAGTCTGGCCCTAATACTCCGTCGTAATATTCTACTGACACCATCCATTTGTTTGTAACTTACTTCATTTGATTGGATAATTACTTATCACTTAATTACTTACATACTATTATTCCATTACATTTATCTATTATATTTTCTTAACTATTTGTATTTACAAGGTTTTTGTCCATTTAATTTATTATTATTATTATTAGTAGTAGTAGTAGTAGTAGTAGTAGTAGTAGTAGTAGTTGTGTAATGTCATGCCAACAAAGCCTGTTAAACTGAACTGAGTCGATCTTGATATGGGACGGAGTGAGAGGTCTTTCTAATACCGATGCCGTTACAACATTAAGAGACGATCTTTGGTCCCATTCAGGACCCATATTGCGGAAAATGTGTTTGTTCAGTGTTGTGGGGACAACTACCAATAGTTAGTAAATAATTTATTAATGCTTTATAGATCAATCATAAATCATAAATAAGAAGAATTTTGGAGTTGCCTGACTCGTATACCCACCCTATATTTTTAAAGTCTTATCTTTTCTTATCTTTTCTTATCTTTTCTTATCTTTCTTATCTTTATTTATTTATATTTTTAAAAAGTACTTTATTCTTGTGTGATTTTTGTGTGACTTGTATATTTTTGTGTGATTGTATATTTTAAGCACCATTGCACCAAGACAAATTCCTCGTATGTGTAAAAACCTACCTGGCAATAAATCTGATTCTGATTCTGATGTGAAAAAGAACCTATTTCTAACTGACCCATGAGCATTTATTAATCAATTACCAGCATTAATTTCTACATTATTATCAAAGAGAAAGGATACAGACCAGCTCATGTTTAACAACCTAACAAACTTTTATACTTGTACCAACATGCTTGAGTAGTTGTCTCTATATTATACAGTATGATGGTTTAAATGCACATTTTCCTTTGGGACATAACTGAACTGACTCAGCTTCAACATAATAATATTGTTACCACTGAGCTGTTGAGTTTTTTCTGTCTTTAAATGCCACTTTGTGTTGCTATCACAGCTCCGGGTATTTTTTTCTCAGTGTTTTTATGACAAACCAAAAAACAAATGACATTGCATCAGTGATGGCCAATAGGCAATAATTAAATCTGAAAGATGTTTATTAGGCTCAACAGATGTAGACTTGATTAAACAGAATTTATGCAATTAGAATAAACAGTATTAGTAGTATCAGATTAACTCTGTTAAGAATAATTGCAGTCACAATGTCATCCATTAAAACAACATGCTCTTAATATGCTGTAAAATATATAAATATCGAAAGTCGTTATTTTGATGCCACACACAGTTTCATTCCAAAATGAGAGATTTTTACAGAAACAACTACATTTTGGAATGACGGGTTCAATTCATTCATATGAAACACGGTATCGTCAGCAAATGCAGAAATCACTGCAGCGGTAAGGACAGGTTAATGTGCGAGAAACCAATAAATGATAATGAATCAAAAGGTCAAGTTAGGAGAACACTGCCAGTGCAGCCAACTCTTTTCCGGTTTTGGAGATCACTCAGATGTCTTTGCCGCAGTCGGGGCAGAGGATGTCATCTTTGCACGTCAGGAAACCTCGGCCGACCAGAGACACGCAGCACCTTTTGCAGTTGAAGCAGTCGTTGTGCCACTGGCGCTGCTCAAACGAGATATACTTGCTGCCCCCAAGACCTGAGATAAAAGCAATAAAGAGGAGCCATGAACAAAATGAGCTTGTCCGCAACAGTCTCATGATCTCTGTAATTTAATAATCTTGTAATTGATGGTGATTGGATGCAGAGGGTAGCATATGATCTGGGAACAGTTCAGTCCATGCTGAGGTGTCATTTATACTACTCGTAGTTAAGATCTTCTCCAAAGTCACACTGCAATGCTACATGGACTGTGTTTCTACCTTGTTTTATTCAGTATATTAGGACAAATTAAGAATTTTGACACATCTAATTAAGATTATTTTGCTAGCATTTGTTTCAGATGAACATCCTCTGACCAAAAAGTATGCAGCATTAGACAGTGTAAGACTTATTTTCTTGTTCTTATTGTCTAAAATTCAAACATTACAGGGTCAAATCTTGACTGAAGTTAACTGCTGTTTTTACACATTAGGTTCACTTTACTAGTCATGGTTCAGTCTGTAAAAACAATTAAAAAATAACCCTGAAGATGTCAGTTATCTCAGCTTGTAGATGAAAATTTACAATAAAACAACACCTTTGTTGCAAACTTAGAATTTGCTATGATTATTGGTTATATTTCCAAAATTTGTCTCTTGCAAGTCTCTTTACTAAAAATACTAAACTGCTGGAGCACCGATATAAACGTACACAAGGGGACAATGATTAAGACATTTTTCGCTTCCAGTCAAACTTGTATCTACTTCTTAGCATCAGCAACTTACTGGAATCGTGTAGCAGTTTATGGAGAATTAGCATATTGTGAAAATCAGACTGAATTCTAATTGAATCACTGAATGAATTAGATAAGTGTGTGGCAAGTAAGGAGTCTGGAGCCAGATGAGACTGGACATGACATTTGGATGAAGTCCAACAGTCCTAATTTCAATGTCAACAAACTTGACATCATTGCAGTAAAAAAGGCTGGTTACAAAATGGCAGAACAAGAGAAATGTTGTGAATTCACTGGCAGCAAGCTGATTTTAGTGACTTTCAATTAACATCCCAGAGGTAAAAATTTAAAGACATTTGCCTGCCTAAAAGATTCCATTAAAAACAAATATAAAAGTACTGTAACAAACTTTCAAAGGCCCTACTCTGGGCGCAAGTGCAGGATAAACTTTACCGCTGATCGGGGTGGTGCAGTAAGCACATTTCTTGGCAAACAGGTTGCAGAAGCAGTTGAGGCAGTAGGCGAAGTCGTCCCGAGAGGTGAACCGCTGGCCGGCCAACTGCTGCTTGCACCCGATGCAAACGAAGCACTCCTTGTGCCAGGGCTGATCATGGTAGTTCACTCCTCCAGTGGTGATGGGCTGAAAGATATGGTGTCATATGTCGTTTCTATTGTTCATTAAAGGTTATTTATATAAAAAAGCAAATATGTTTATTAGCACATTTCGATTTAAAAGAGATAGATGGATAAAGAGCTTTCAACTGCATCTCATGGTCTTCATCAGCAGATGACGTTGGCTTAGTCATGAAGATAGCGCAGCTGGTGGTGTAGGAAGAGGAGATCTGTCTCTGTTAGTGCCGGCAATTTACAATGAAAACCATGAGATGTGGCTGAAAGGCTTTTTTACTACTGTTTTGAAGGTAAAACATTAACGTTGATTCCCTGACTGCATATATTCACAATTCTCAACAATAAAAAGGCCAATTGTTTGTTTTTGATTTGTTTGTACTGGTGTTGAACTGCTAAAGACGCGGTGCTCCTACACGTGTATGTATAGCTTCATGCTGCTTAATTTCTTAGTCACTTAGCTTAGTCACAGGCGAGCCAGATGACTGCTGCCTCACCTACCAGCTTTTAGCACAAAAAAGACGCCTCCGATCCCTGCCTGCTTGACCATCTGTTTCCTGCCCCGAGCTGTTATATAACATACATATGTGTCTTCTTCCCTCCTTCACTGTATGTTTTCTTCATAACTGTACCATTAGTTCAAATTTAAGTTCCAGTAAACACAGAAATCTTTCAAATTGATGTAAATGTGCATCCATAAGAGTCCTGGGTAAGCATCATAGTACTTCAATGAATGTTGAGTTTTAACTTTAAAGCTACTAAGGGGATGTCTATGGGGAAAATCATGGTTCATGGTTATCATCACAAGCATTAAACGCACAATAGGTCTGCACCAATTAATAGAAATATTAGCGAAATCGCCAATATGGCCAAGTGCATAATGCAACCAACTGAATACCACTCGCCTTCCAAACATGTAGGAGAAAGTACAGCGGCCACAAAACAAACCGCAAACAAATGAAAGACCCTATTTAGAACCAGTGTCTACTGTAGAAACATGGTGGTTCAACATGGTGTAAACGTCTCATTCTAAGGTAATAAAACAACAATTCCTATATTCAGGTGATTATACACTAATGAAAACATACCTATGAAGATTATATTCAATTTCTAGATTCTCCTAAATGTTACACACTGGAAAACAAAATCCGTGTGAATCACAGTGAGCTGTTTTACCTTCTTACAGTGGACACACTGCTGGGCAAACTGCTTCTCATAGCAGGGCAGGCAGTAGTTGTTGCCCTCCTTCTGCACGAAGCTCTTGGTGCCGATGGGCTGCTGGCAACGGTTACAGGTGAAACAGTTCTCATGCCAACTGTTGCCCTTATGCTCCATCTTTTTAGAGCCTGGTGGGTCGAGGGGGCAGAGAGAGAGAGAGACAGAAAAAGAGTGTGAGAGTGGGAAGGAAAGAGAAGGAAGAAAGATATAGAAGTTCTCACACTAACAAATGTAACAGCCCATCCTCCTCCAGCTCACTTAAACTATCACGGTTGTAACAACCCAGTAATAACACAGCATTGTCATCATTCAACACGTCTTCAATTTTGAAGTTTTCCAGAGAAGTGAAAAGACATTATTTGCCTCAGTCTACGTCAATGATTACATGTACAGTAGGTCCTACTATCCTACTGGCATTCAGATCAGCCTAAACCATTTACAGTTAATGGCAATTTGATGATGTTTTGTGAGCTCTGTTAAAGTTCAACATTAACTTGGATCTAAGAAAAGACTGTACAGCTACCCAGCTGCCTAATAGCATTTACAAGTATACAGTCGAACATTGAAGTTAAATATCTTTGCACCTCAGAGGTTTCTAAGCTGATTTAATTTTTGAAAATACTAAAAATAGGAACATTGAAATCAACAAAATGACACACCCTGATTCCAGACGCAGACATAACATCCATACTTCATGTCCACTGACCCAATCTCTGCTCAAATAACTTGTTCAATGTACTGAATAGTGTAACAATCACAACACCGCTCCTCACCTGGCATGATGGTCTTCAGGCATGCATGGCACTTGGCAGAGTACTCGTTGCTGAAGCACTCAATGCACATCAGCATGTCCTCTTTGGTGGAAAAGGGTCGATCCACCAGAGATCGGCTGCACTTAATGCAGAGGAAGCATTCGCTGTGCCAGTGGCGGTCCTTGTATGACAGATCCTGCAGAGTCAGGGACAGAGACTGTTAAGTTACTGCATTTGCCTCTTCTGGTCTATGGAAACATTTCAACAATGAAGAAGTTAAGATATCAGTAGAGATTTCAAATACAATTTCCCCCTTTAAACACCAGGACAAGATCCCAGCACCATCAACCAAAGCCTCTGCTGTATTCAATTTTCCATGAAAAAGATCAACTCTATTTTAGTCTATTTGAAAGCCAACAGAGCCCCATTGTGAACCCAGAACCCCAAAGCAACTTATTGGCTGATTTGGACAATATAGGCATGGTTTGGGGGTTATTTAGGATGCTGAATCCATTTATGACATTTTCAGTACTAAATGATGGAAGTGACCATATTTCAACTCCTGGTGGGCTGATTTTGATCCATAATACATAACTGCAGGTCACACAGGTCAATGACAAAATGCTGCACAGCAAAAATGTATTCTGCATTAAGCATTAAAATAACCTCAAAATTAATCAAAAATATGGCCTTTTTGTATTTTGAAAATGTTAGATTATATTATATTTCTTTTAGTGTCAAAGAACAAGTACATTAAGCTTGAGATTGCATTTTAAGCATGCTTTCATGCTGGTTGATATGTGATGTATGTTTGGTGGGTAACTAAGGTAGTAAACTGCCTTTGTGACTTCCAAAGTTTCAGGTCATCTGCAAACATGAATGGGAAAATATGGTTGTGGAAACTGAAAGATATTGACTTTCACTGACTTAATATTGGTAAGAAAATGTACCTTGCTGGTGCAGGCAATAAGCAGTTGGCAAACTTCACAGCTGAAAGAGAAAAGTGTCTCGTAGCACTTGATGCAATATGGGTTTTCTTCCTTCAGGATGTACTTTTGCCCATATAAGGAAGTATTACACTCTGTACAATCGTAGCGGTCAGCCATTGTGGCTGAAATCTCCTCTCCGAGTCCTCTGTCCTGTAAGATAAAATATAAAGACATTCAAGAACGGTGCTATAAAGATGATGTAATTACAGTGAAAACATTGCCAACATTAGTTGGCCTCCAAAATTTTAAACTTAACGTAATTAGAGAGATGTATTTTTTCTACAGAAGCACTATAGTACTATCTCAGTATCACATGTTCCAGTAAATTATATCATGCCTTCATGACCATGACCATGCACCAGGTACAGAATGTAGCCCTTCTGAACTTCCTGACAACTCAATTGAGTACTACATACAAATAATTAGGCTGAGGAATGTCACAAATAGCCTCCAAATGGCCACACATTGTATAGTAAATCCCCTTCACTTTATTAATGGACATAATGTGACTTTTAAATCTGGTTTACTTGCTCTAAAAGATCCTAAATCTGAGTCTAAGGAGGTCTAATTAAATGGCACCATCCGTGAATGAATGAAAGACCAAAAACAGGGATTATATTTGGAAGAGGAGAATTAAGCCATAAGGAGGAAAGGGAAGAGACAAAAGGATGAAAAGTAGAATAAATGTATGAAGATAAAGTGGATGAGGAGGAGCAGAGGAGTCAAACAAAGAAGGGGCAACATACAAAAACGCAGAAGAATCTATCTATTGCAGACTTTAATTCAGCTAGAGGAGGATTTTTAGGGCTATTGGTGAGCAAACAACATTATTAGAGGTTTAAATATTACTTCAAGATGTAGGATTGCAGCATAAAATCAAAACATGCAACTTCTGAAAATCAATTCTTCCAACCTGTTTAGACAACTAGAAAGGTCTTCAAATGGGAAAATCACACTCTTCTGGGCCAGTTTAATGTACATTTGATTAGATTAATAGAGCCAAACCGACACCACACAAGACAGTTGAGATTATTATCATTGCCAGCTTGATAGTTTGGTATTAATATCCAGTGATATAAAGCAACAAGAAGACATTTTGAGCTAATTAAATAAGGCATATTAGCTAAAACACAAAGGCTGCTATTGATTTGACGTTTGATCAGATGACTCATATTTTTACATTTGTCACTTGTGAGTCATGACTCTTAAATGATAGCCAGTGATTAAAGTTATTGGCACATAGTTTGGTAATGCCATTCATCTTAATTTGCAAGAAGTTTGGACAAAACTGACCATCTAACCATGTTTCTGTAGATTATTTAAATCTAAATATTTGTAGGAACCCCTCTTTAAACCCCCTGTACCCTCTATACTCCTCTATACGCCTTCTGTACCCCTCTCTAAACCCTTGGTGCCCTCTAGACTCTTTTACACTATAAAGCCTGATTACTTAGTTCAACTCAAACTGTTTGAGGAAACCGCTTGCCTTAAACTGTTTAAATCAAACAATTTACGAATGAAATATATTTGAGTAAAGATAACGTTAATTTGTATTAATTACGCTCAGTTAACTGAAGTTACACCCATATGCAGCATTTTTCTAAACATATTCAAAATGTGTGAACAGAATTCATCTGAATAAAGTCACTTGAATGCATCTTCTTTATATAAATGTTACCACCAAATTGAATTTACTCAGTTTTCTTCCACTAAAACAAATTAACTAATCATTAGGTAATGACCTGTCAAAACTGACAATGAAAACAATTTATAACTAATTGATCATTAAAATGGTATCTTTACACTTTGGGGGATCATTAAGAATTATTTGGATGCAAACATGGGCTTATGATGATTAATAAACATTAAATAGCTTACATTTAGTGAATGAGTGACTCCAATTTCTTTGGAGGATAGATTTATATAACTTTTATTAAGATGTGTTGTCAAGTTTTACAGTGTATTAACCCCTGTAGCCATCTATTAACCCTCTACACTCCCCTATAAACTCTTTGTAATCGCTATAATCTTTCTGTTTCCCTCTATAAAACCCTCTGTGACCTATAAAACCCACAAAACCCTCTATAAACCATCTCCTTTCCCTATCTAAACCAACTCTTCTACAAACCTTCTTTACCATCTAAGTACTCTCTATAAATCATCCATACTCCTCTATAAACCCCTGTACCCCTACCTAAACCCATTATCCTACTCTCTACACCTTACATACCACTTTAATTCCTCTATTACCCCCCTGTACCCTCTTAATGCCTTGCTATAAACCCTCTATACTGATATTTTTGCCATTTTCACCCCTTTAAAGCCTTATGTATACCTTTATTTTCAAAGTATACCACTCTATCTTCTCAATTGAGTTAATTAAATCTACTCGAGAATCTATTCAGCCTAGATTAGTTCTTCATCCACTTTTCCTTGCTTTCAAAAACATGCTCAAGCAACTCAAATAATCCTCCAACCCTCTTCAGAAACCTGGATTATTTTTAGCTAATCATGAAGAATTTAGGATACAAAACTGTCAGAAACTACAACATGGACATAGAAGATCAGCAGGAATAAAATCACCAAACATCCCTAAAATTATTATGGATGAGAGAGAACCATAAATACAGAAAAGTAAGGAAAGAAGTCTCACCGATCAGTGCAGCCTGAGTGTCAGATGAAGAGCCTGTCTCTGCAGACTGGGACCAGAGGTGTCTACTGAGCGCTGTAGTCAATCTGCCTTTTAAAATTAGAGAAAAATGTGACCCACACTGGGGCAGGAAGGTGGAGGCAGTGGTGTGACCAGAGTGGGCAGGTCAGATTATATTTAGACTGCTATATAATTCAAGACAAAATCCCAAGAAATCCCCATTTAAAATGTGGAACTCTTAAACTTTTTAACAGACAGACATATAAATATAATGGAATGGAAAATGTCTGTGATCACGAGTTATTAGACTCTTGTTTTCGTCTAATCTCAAGAAAAAAAGCATGTCATAGGATTTTGAGATGTTTACATAACAAATAATTATTCTGTGATATCAAGCTGTCAGACCTGATATCATACTTGGGTGTGTGATCATAAACTAAAATAAAAACAAAAATGTGTTCCTAAAGTGGGGATTTTAAGGTCACAGTTATTCTGCAGCTTCAGCTCCTCTGCCTGGTTGTGTCAGTATCTTTCAACTTCAGTTATTTTAAGTCAAATTCTAACATGTGTAGAAAAAAAAAAAAAGGATAGGATGTCAGGTAGGTTTGTGTAGCACCTTTCACACAAACAAATCAATATGTAGTGAGGAAACACTGGAGGCAGGATTAGGAAAAGATTAAACCTAATAAGAAAAGGATATAGCAAATAATAAAGTAAAGTGAAATAAAGTGATAAAACAGATTAAAAAAACATAAATAGATAGACAAATGTGAGTGTGTATGTGTGTTGGTGATGAAACAGTGATTGGTGCATTCGATAGCTGCTTCTGGATTGGACCAATGGTTGGCAGCTGCAGCCTTTTCAAACCACGGCTGGCAGCAATCTTCCCTCCCTTCACATTCCACTACTTCCAACAATGAGACAGCGTCTATTGTAATGAGTCTTGTGTAAGAAGAGGAGCCGCAACACAAACCTTTCTGGAAAGTTTGGATGGTTCCCTGAATATCCTGCGATGCTCTGTTTTTTGCCTATTTTGAGCTAATTGAATAAGGCACATGAGCTAAAACACAAAGGCTGCTATTGATCGGACATTTGATCAGATGCAGAGCAGTCATATTTTCATATTTGTCACTTGTCAGTCATTGTGGGCCTCTTAGATGATAGCCAGTGATTAAAGTCATTGGCAGATAGTTTGGGAATGCCTTTCATCCTAATTCGGAACATTAAACTTTGGACAAATCTAACCATGTTTCTGCACATTTTTTGAATCTAAATATCTATAAGCACTCTGCACCCCTCTCTCAACCCTCTCATTAAAAAACCATCATCAACACAAGAGTCTTCTTGCTGATGGTGAACACAAAAATGTAAGCTCTGAGATTAGGGATCAGATCAGAGTCAACCCCGTTGTCCACCCACAACCCATTTTGAGGCTTAAATAATGACCTTAATAGCCATTGTGAACACCAAGGATGTGATAACGCATCCTGCCATGATGCCTACTTTCAGGCACTGCCAAGATGTGGTGAACTGCAGGTCCTGAAAGTGGGATTTTTAAAATGGCTGCTCGAGTAAATAACAGTTGAGCAAGTGTGGGTGGAACCTGAGTCAACTCTCTCCTTTCCTGTACTTAGATATGCTATGTGCTATACGCTAATCTATGTTGAAAAGACCACACCACATTTTGAAGAGTATTAAAAGATAAAAAGCTGGTGCAGAACTTAGGTACGGTCAGTTGGTGGGATGTCGGATGGGATGGTCAGATGTTTGTGCTGTTTTGGGTCACAGTGCGCTGATACTTCCGTTGTGAAGAGGCGTTTTAGGAACTTGAAGAACTTTATAGAACCGTGTCCTTTCTTGGATGACGATCTCCTGTTGCCTCCTGGAAGTTGGTGCGGTGCAGAACTGGGAGGTTGGGTGGGTCCCACCATTGTTGTAATCTCTGTGCTTAGGTTTACTTCCTCTATGACATTGGTGCCGATGCACTGCAAGCTATGATTGGTGTCCAATTTGTTGTGCTTCACTTGACTCACTTGATCTCTTTTGCAGAGTAGACAATGTGAGGCCTTGGTATCTTTTGAATCCTCGATCCCAACTATGATGTTACTTTCCTTTGTGGAGTTTGTGTCCTGCTTTCCTGTGCTGTGCTCTTGTAGCTCATTGTCGATTCTGGTCCAGGTTCTGTTGCCGTGATGTCTTCCATCACCCACTCTTGCGGACTCTTGGGATTTTCTCTTTTGTCGTCTTTTCGCAGCTACTCTGAGTGTTTTTAACATGCTGAAAAGTCTGGGAAACTACAGACACAGATAGCTTGCCCATGACTCTCCCATTGGGGTGTTTTCCCTCTTGTCAGATGTCTCTCCATGCCACCATCCATTTTCTCATTAAAGAAAAAGTTTAGAAATATAGTCTGCTTGGCACATGACATCGACTATATTTATCTAATTTGCTCTTTCTAAAAATAAAGGAATGAAAACTGGCTGTACTCTATAGTGCATAGGATGGAGTATCTTATTAAGAATTGCATTTCACTGCCCATGCTTCTTCAGTACCCACAAAATAAAATGTTGCATGTGACATTATAACTTGAAATTCATTTTGTGTGACACTGGGTTAGCAAATCTTGAAGACAAAGGAGGTGTACATAAAATGGTTTAATGAATGTGTCTGTTTGATTTTACTTTATAAAGTTAACCAGTGCCATCAGACTCTCGGGACTATGTCTAATAGCTGCAGTGTTTTTGCTTCTTTACAGTCTTGTTTTTTTGTTTTTGTTTTTATATTTTGGGGTTTTTATTGCCTTTAATGGATAATCTCAGCTGAAGAGTCACAGGAAGGGGGGGATGATGGCCACAAGTCCCTAACACAAGGAGTTTACTTCCACAAGGAGTTTACTTCTGGCCGCTGCAGCAAGGACTCAGCCTTGGTACCAGCTCTACCAGGTGACGGTGCCCCTGCTTCTGTACAGTTTCAAATTATAGAATAACATAATAACACTGTTCTACAGTCGTTGACAATTATTTTTGTTATTTTTGGTAAATATTATATTGATTTGGTATTCACTGATGGATGTAAGTTTCCTTTCCTAAGTAAAAGTAACAATATTACAATGTGAAAACATTGGCCCAAACTATCATTGACTGACTGCCAGTTTTGGTGCTATACTGCTTCATTTACAAACCTGGACTACTTTCTCTTAAATTGAGAAGTTGTACAAGTGGTCTCACTAAAAATAAGTACTTTGAAGTACTGCAGGGGTCACCTGAGATTTGTTTAATAATCAATCAATCATGTACGATTCCTAAAATAATGATACCATAATAAGTTAAATAAAAAATGTAATTGTAGAAACGGGAAACGGAATATAATATTCATAACTATATTTTCATTAGTGTATAATCACCTAAAGAAATAAGAATTGTTGTGTTTTTGTTACCTTAGCTGTTTCTATCTACAGATGCATCCATGGAGTCCGCCATGTTGAACCACCATGTTTCTACAAGTATGTGATGCTATTGTTTTAAATCAGAGAGGAGAAAAAATGGAAGATTGGTTGTGAAAAACAACTTTTATATAACAGGAATCCATCTAATTGATCGCATATCAATGAATATATGAAGTAACTGTGAATTAAAATTCCTTAACTGATGATCTATCAAATGGGAACTAATCATAATCATTTGATTAGATTAGATTTTATTGTGATTATACAAGTACGAAGACAACGAGATGCAGTTAAGCATTTAACCAGAAGTGCAAAAAGCAGTAAAGTGCAGAGTAAAGTACATATGTACAGGGATATAAAAAATAACAGTATAGATATATATATGAATATGCTAGCAAGATATATACAGTATGAACAGCATATGTTAACATTGTTAATGGTGAGCAACAGGAATTCATGACACATGCTGCATCAATCATCATGAGTTGTAGTTCAGCATTACTTAGTATTTGTACACTTATTAGAAAGCCTTATTTGATCCAGCTGGCTGCCATGAGCACTCACTGACAGCTATGATAAGAACTGTGTCTCTTAATGGTTCAGAGAAATGCCATTTCCATGTAACAGCTAAACAGCAGCCACTTGTTTGTCCTTAGTCTAATTTTTGAAAAGTTCGACTGGAATAATCCGTCCATGTGTGACTCCAATGAGTGTCAGTTGACATTTACATGACTGAAGACAACATACTTCAAACCGAATCAATACTTAAAAGTTGTTTATGGTTTTTTGTCGAATTAGATTTTCTTCTGCATGATGTTGGTTTCAGTTTAACACAAAGCAACACAATGTAAGATTTTCTTCTTTGTGCCTCTTGTGCGGGCCCTAGCTTGCACATAAACACACAGTGGGTAAATATATTAGGATAATCTAATAATACAACAGCAGTAATAGGAGAGGACATCATGTGGTGGAAGGGCACCTGTAAGTCCTTAAGCCCTTTGGAGAGGAATTTAAAAACAGGGTTCCCAGGCATTTTCATGGTCTTTTCAGGAACCCTTAATAAAATTTGAATGACCATTAAGACTCCTATACTTTACTCCAAATGTTAAAGGTCCAGTGTGTAACATTGGACCAGGTTTCAACCAGAGGGTGGTCAACTGTGCATTAAAGTTTGCTTCACTCATTTCTAACTGTAACTTCACCTCTGAAAATGTAAATAAATGTATGCAACATTATCTACGTGAAAGGGTATAAACAAGAAAACTATAATTAAATAAATGTTACAGCTAGGAATTGGTCAAACAAGCTACCAAAGATTGCAGGCAACCTGCTGCAAACAATCTATATATCTTTCTATTTATCTAAAGATATGTGAGGTTAAGTATCCACTGATGACCAGATGTTGTCCCTTTGTCCCTTTTTAACCCCTGCCTGCACAAACTTAATAATCGTGTAGATGAACTTGAGATATGATACTATACAGTAAGAAATTAGCTGTTAAAGAAGAAGCTTTAACACCAGCCTGCACAAAATCTTGGTTGTCTATAAATCACTAACAGAGCGTGTTCTCACATTCATAGTATGGAAACCTCTCTGTAAAGCAAAGAACAAACGGACACAGATTGCCAGCCAGGCCAGCAAGATCACTGTAGGCAAACAACTTCTATTACAGGACTAACATTGTCAGTCGTTAACCAAATAGACAATCCAGATCTACAACGACCCCACCCATCCTCTCCACTCAGCATTTCAGCTGCTGCCATCAGGCTGCAGACAGAAAGTCCCAGTGCCTAGGAAGAAACAGAAAATCCTTTATTCCAACAGCTGTGACCATCCTCAATAAGAACCTGCCCCCCATTTTTATTATATCCTTTTTAATCTACATTTTACTGCTGTGTATTATTTATTATTGCTGTGTATTATTTATTGTTGTGTTAAGTTTACATGTCCATCACTTTCATTACCATCACTTGCCACCTAGTCACTTTCTACTGTATGCCAGTGCCAAAGATACATTTCCATTTAATGCAAATTGAACGGGCAATAAAGTCATCTGAATTTAATCTTAAATATGTAGGTACTCTTTTTATTCTTGTACATTTGCTTGTTCTTACTGCCACAGACTGTGTAAATAAGAAGGTTTATATGTGTGGACGGTGCTTTTGTTTCGAAAACGAACTTCCGATTTTACTTTGAAGGTCTCCGCCAGTGTTCTAGCACTTCATTCGTTTTGTTTTATACCCGGAAGACTTTGTAAACAAAACGGCGTTTGAATTCAAAACAGGGGGAAAGCAGCACGTGAGACTTGCGGGATGAAAACAGTAAACCTTTAAGTAAAATATAAAAATATTTCAGGTGATAAACATGGAAGACTTGGAGCGGGAAGAGCTCGGAGGAAACCCGGACTGGATGTCTCATCTGCCCGAGGAGCTGCTCGATGTCCCGCTGTGGAACCTGGCTATACCTGGTAAAACAGAACCGGGGAGAAGCTGGATGAAAATCAAACTAGAAAAAGTATAGATACACACACACACACACATTAATACTTGTTTTGTTTTTATTCTAGGGAGCCATGACAGCATGTCTTTCTGTCTGGATGTCTCCTCTCCTGTGCTGAAGTCCGAGCCCTGCCTCCTCAGAGGGATTGACAGGCTGTTTCCCTGCTGGACTCGACCCTGTGTCTCCCGCTGGGCCACCACACAGGTACAGGAGCACACATACTGTTAAATGTGGCCCCTAAGAGCCTTTTCTTCCTTCAGAGGATTTAATGCGGGACAATCTGGCATCTGGTGGTGCGTTCAAGTGTAGCGCGTAAAGTCAGGCATTTCCAGGTAAACAGCTGTATGTGCTCAAGAGAAGCATCTTTACAAAGTACAGACTCTGTACTGTGAGCAGATAAATAAATATAAATATATATATAATATACTTTATATAACATCTAAGACCTAAAGGTTGAAGAAGTAAAAGAAAAGTAACAGTACAAGTAAAAATGTACAAATACTGCAGTAAAAATACAGAAGTATTATCAACTAAATGTTCATATCATATTATTAAAAAGTATCAGAAGTATCAAAGTATTCATTTTGCCTCCTGTCAGGATTATATTACTATATATTGTATTATTTAAATACAGTGTTGGGTCAGATTACTTTGAAATCTAGTCAGTTACTGAATATAAATTACAGTCCAATTTCTGTCATTAGTAACATAATGCATTGGATTATTAGAATATATATATACTATCTACTATACTAAATATAATTCACTTATATATTATAATATGTACATATTCAGTATTTACAGCTGGTCAAATTAAATAACACCACATTTTCCTGGGTGATTATTTATCAATTTTTCAGTTTTTAGAAATATTAATATGATATTTTCATATTTTAAAGACGGATTCAAAAATCTAATCAAGTACAAACACCACTTAAATATTATTACTGCAGCTGCATTCATATGTAAGCAGAATTTTAATATGGCTGCTGGAGGTGGCGCTAATTTGAACTAATTAAAACACAATGTTTGCCTCGTTAATGTGAATTAGAAATACTGCACTGCATCTGGTTAGAGGCTAAACTCAATTAATGAATTATTCGGTTTAGAAAACAGTGAAATATGTCAATCACAGTTTCCTAAAGCCTGACATTAATTTGCTTATTTGTTTTTTTTCCAGCAAAAGCTCCAAACCCAGAAGTATTCAGTCAAATATTCACATTATTTTATTTCCCTATGTGTGTGTAGCAATCCGTCCTCAGTGATCAGTGTGATCTTGGTGTTCGTTTCTTGGACCTGCGGATCGCCAGGAAGCCGGCAGGCAGCAGAAAATTGTTTTTTGCCCATGGCATCTACACACTGATTACTGTGAAGGTACACACACACACACACACACACAGCAAGGGAACGTAAGAAAATACTTATGACTCAAACTCCTCTTTCATGGGAAGTGAGTTAAGCCAACAACAGGCCAGAGATACAGCAGGTACTGAGAAGAAACTAAATACAAAATATGACTCTGTGTGTGTGTGTGTGGGTGTGTGTGTGTGCAGGAAGCTCTGGATGAACTGGCTACCTGGCTGGACGCTCATCCCAAGGAGATCGTAATGATTTCCTGCTCGCATTTCGACTCACTGACTGACGAAGATCATGTCAGCCTCGTGGAGTTCATCATCACCCTCTTCGGAAAGAAACTCTGCTCCTCACAGGTGACTGGGCTGGTAGAAAGAGAGAGAGACGAGGAACTGTTTAATTCATTAATCAATTTGTCGATCAAGAAAGAGATAATGCACAACAACTAATCACTATTTGATTAGTAAAATAATGTCAAACATTTGCTGTTTCTAGATTCTCGTTTGAGGATTTACTGCTTTTCTTTGTTTTATATGATTGTAAATTTAATATGTTTAGGTTTTCCGGCTGTTGTTGGATTAAATAATTGAAGTTTGTTTTGCATATAGAGGATACTTACAATATACATGTGTTTATTTGCAGGACATTCCCACTCTGCGTTCTTGTTGGTCCAGAGGTCAGCAGGTCGTTGTTTCCTATAGCAACCAACAGATGGTGCTGCTGCATCCTGAGCTGTGGACTGAAATACCTTACTGTCCTTCTAAAAATGTTTGCACTGGGCATTAAAAAATAAACATAAAACTCAAAATGATTCATCATCTAAAGCAGACCTCAACACACCTTTGCTATGGATAACTTAATTTAAACACTAAACTAATTGGCCTCACGGGGGCGCTCTGTGTCCAGGTATGCTGACAGCGCTGACCCTAAGAAGGTGATCGCCTACCTGGAGGACCAGAAGCGAAAAGGAAGACCAGGTACGCATTGTATTCAACCATTTACTCAACTAAAAGTCTTAATATTGCATTATAAAAATACTTTATTACAAGTATAAGTCCTGCATGTACTACTTTTATTTTTACTATAAGTATTAGCAACAAAATGCCCCCTGCTTATGTTTGATTTTCATATTACTGGATAATATTGATGCATTAATATGTAAGTGGTTCATGTTATTTTATTTGTACCCATAGCTAGATTTGGTTTGCAGTAAAATACAAAATATTTTAACATCAAACAACGTGATCTCTAAAAGCACTAAAATAAATATCCACTAGAATGAATGAGTTAAAAATACAGATGACAACTTTTACCTCCTACTGGTATTGAACCTGATCCACTTCATCATGAATCCGTTTTCATTAAACAAGGAGGATTAAAACTGGAGTTAAATGTGTCAATAACGGGCCTTACAGTAAATTGCTGCCCTGGATTGTCAAGAAAACCTGGACAATGATTTCTTAAAAAGAGCGGGAACCCTGATAAAGTGACCCCTGCAGGTAGGAAACATGTTTTCTTTCCTCCCTTACTGTTTGTTTTGTTCCCAGGTGGTTTTTACGTCAGCGGTCTGAACTTGACAGAAGACGCTCTTTACGTCCTCCTCCATCCCCTCCAGGACATGAGGAAGATGACGAGGAGGGCTCTCTCACTGCTGCTTCACTGGGCGAGCGAGCAGCATCCTGGGGGCGAGGTGGGCGGAGTCAACATCCTCTGCTGTGACTTTGTGGGCATCAGTCAGTTCTGCTCACTTGTGATTGGCCTCAATGACAAACTGCTGGGTGGAGCTGGCACGGTTGCTGCTTGCCCCGCCAGCAGGATGCTGGGAGCATCTTCCTAACTATCTAAAAAGATTTATTTTTCTTTTTTTCTTGGAGTGTGAATTAATAATTAGTTATTTTACCTCACAAATATGTTTGATCGTGTGAATATGTTTTTTTTGGACCCTCACTTCTGAATTACGCACAGTGTCATCAGAGTATTATTTTCAAATTGTAAATATTGTTTTTCCTGTTGTATTTGAATTGCTATTTTGGGATATACACTTTAATACATTATATAAATAAATACTTTCACATATTTTGACTCTTAACTTTTAAACTCTTTTTGCAGCTCTCTGTGATTAATTATATTAATAATAACATTGTACCATTAGAGAGTAGAGCTTTAATGTCCCTGAGGGGCAACTTGTCTTACAGACAGCAGTCAACAATAATAATAAATACAAAAAGAACACAAGAATTAATTAAAAAAATAATACACAGGTTAGCACTTGTGATTACACGTGTGCTTTTCTGTGTGTGCATGGGTTTGGCTTTTACAAAGTAACAAACTTTGACTCCTCAAGACAACTATATATACACACAAATACATATAAGTACACAGTACATACAAAATAACTAAAGTTCTTTCTTGCGTTCACTCGTAACTCATAGCTCGGAAAGTCTTCTGTTAATTCCTGACTCATGATTAAAACACACAATCAAGATAATATTAACAGCACGTAAAAGATACACTGATTGCTGTGGGTACAAAGTTTATAAAAAAACAATTAAGATGTAGTTATATGGACTTTGAGAGTCTGGGTTTTGGTTTAAGGTACCTTGAAAGTGCTTGAATCTTACGCTTACAAAGCTGCTTTTGGTTCAAAGATTGAACTTCAGTATTTAGATACTGCGCAAATACACTGACACTACATAAAAAATAGTACATACAACGTAAAAACCTGAATAATGACATACAAAATGATGGATGGAATGGGCTGGTTTGTTTGTCACTGTTATTCATCTTATTATCTGGCTTCTTGTGAAAGATAATAAAAAGAACACAAAAAAAAACACTAAATAAAAAATGATTATAGGAACCAATCGAAATGAGATGCAGTTTCCAGTTTCTTAAAGCTTCTCAAAACCATTTGAATAATGTCAGAAAAAGTTAACACAAGACCATTTGAAATAAGGGTTTCTGACAGCAGAAGGATACATTTTAAAGTCTCCATTAAGTCAAAATTGATATTTGAGTGTTTTATTACATGTCTTGTTCTGTACGTCACCATACGCCACTATGAGGACTTTAACACAAGGACACTGACGACTCCAGCGACAAGAACCCAAAACCAGGGTAGAGAGGTTCAATGAATGCGCAGTAGAAGGTGTACAGGTGGGTCAGAGTGTCAGATAAAACTGCGTAGAAGGACAGAGTGCCTGCAGACCAGTCCAGATACACTCCTACTCTGTTAGAGGCAGAGGGAGGAGTAAGTAGAGCTGTTCTTATATTATTGTGCCAGGCATAGTAACACTTATCAGTGAACTCCAGACTCCATGACTTCTCATTCCATCCGAGCCTGCTGCCATCAAGGGCTCCTCTCCGTCTGAGTCCTTTGTAAGTCACTCCAATATCAACTCCTCCTTCCCACTCCACCTCCCAGTAACAGCGGCCAGTCAGACCAGTTGTACACAGCAGCTGGTAGCACCAGTCGAATCTGTCTGGGTGATCAGGATACGGCTGCTTCTCCATCGACAGCATCACTTTTCGCTTGTTCTCAGACAGGAGGACGTTTTTGTGTGCTGTGTTTGGGTCCAATGTGAGTTCACAGGTATCTGATGATGAGAAAAAGACAATAAATGTAGGCCTGCAGGTTTTGACTTAACTGATGTCACATGAATTGAGTGTTTTTTTTACACACTTACACTTCCCCAGACCAGATTTCAACCACTGAACAGATTCATAATCCACGCTGGAGGAAGAAAGCAAAGTCAGACCAACAGGAGACAAGACAAGTAGGAACTTACTTTTGTAGCAACATAGTGACGAGTTTAGGTATTTGCCGTCACTTTGCCCATTTGTTGTATTTTGGTGCCCAGCACAAAACAAAGTAAAGAAAAAACAATATATATATATAAAGCTGTGGTCAAATTGATTCCAGGTATTACAAAAATGGACCCTGTGATTTTTCCCATCTATGTTGACATTTTAAATTCAAGTTCAAGTTCAAGTTCATTCAACCAGTTTCTGAAGCACAGTGAAGTAGGAGTTTTTTTCCATACCTGAGAGTCTCCAGTCTCCAGCGTGGATCCTCCAGTCCAGAAGAGAGCAGTTTCACTCCCATGTCTCCTGGATGATTGTAGCTCAGGTCCAGCTGTCTCAGATGGGAGGGGTTGGAGCTCAAAGCTGAGGCCAGAGAAATACAGCCTTCCTCTGTGATCAAACAGCCTGACAGCCTACACAAATACACACAATTAGCTGAGTTTTGTAAAAAAATAAATAATCTTAGATGTGTCCGATTGGTTTGAAAATAGTTGAGATATTGCAGTTTCATGACAGCACAACATTGCAACATTGCATTTTTTAAGAGAGAAAAAAGAGTAATTAATTAATGTAATCTGCGCAAATGATGACAAAAATACACTCAAAAAAACACAGAAACACCAAACACTCCCTCCAGACAGTGATCCCTTATTGTAACACTAGAGCACATATGGAGTCATCTTACAGGCTCTATAGACCAGAGGTTCCCAACACCAAGACGGGGCCATGGCATGCCCCAGTACAGCATGTACTGCAGAGCTAGAGGTTCTGGCAATTACTAGAAGAACTTGTACTGTAATCAGAAACAAGACTTAACATCCACAGGCTTTAAGAGATGTGGAAGCACAGTAACTAATAATATGATAGTTGCTGACCTGAAACATTCCAGTCTACAGTGTGGACTCCTCAGTCCAGCAGAAAGCAGCTTGACTCCAGAATCCTGCAAGTCATTGTTACTCAAGTCCAGTTTTCTTAGACTCGACAACTTGGCGCTTAAAACTGCTGAGAACTCCTGACAGCATTTTTCTGTGAGACTGGTTTGACTCAACCTGAAAAAAAAGAAGAAATATTTCCATTTATATTTTCTGAGTTTCAGCTTATATGGGGGGTTTCACTGTCAGTGAGGAGAAAAGGAGTTCAGACAAGCAAAAAATCATGTGACACTTATCTCTTAGCATTAACCAGATTGTTACTGCATTACTTCTACTTTCAGGTAGTAGTAAAAGTAAAAGGACAGGGACAGCTTCTTCAATGTAACTAGGACGACTTTAAATGACAGCTGGACAGCAGAACAGTAAACATAACACACAACAACATAGCCACATAAATTAAAATTGGGTTCCCCTGACTACTCCTAGTGCCCCCCAAATGGCATTTGCAAGAATCTAATGCGGTTGAAAGAAATCAATCAGAGCCACTAGGAGTCTCTAACGCAGTGTCAATCAATACTGGTGCACATGCAACCGGCTCCTTCTGTTCTGCTGTGGGTTTGCTGGGAGGGGCTTGGCAGAGGGATACGAGCAGCAGAGAGAGACATGAAAGGTTTTGCATTAAGTATGTTCAAGTTACCTACTGCAGCTTTAAGAGTAATAAAGAAAGAATACCTTCTTAAAATATACATTTGTGTATAAATAGAAAAGTGGTGTTAAAATGTGATCGAACCTGAGAGTTTCCAGTGTACAGTGTGGAGTCTTCAGTGCAGCAGACAGCTGTTTCACTCCTGAGTCCCGTAGCTCGTTGTTACTCATTGCCAGCTCTTTCAGTCTTGAAGACTGGGAGCTGAGAACTGATGCAGACGCTTTCAACAGCTTCTTTCTGATAACTTTACAGCCATTCAGCCTGAAGTTTCAATCTAGAAACTTACATACTGAATAAAACATTTTCTTTCAATTCTGAATTATTGCTCAGGTAAGATTTGTTTTGTTTGGCTGTTGACATAGATCTAGAGTGACCACAGATCTGGACCACATATGAAAAATGTCCCAAATCAGAATTGAAAAGATCAGATGCCATGATTTGGGTCACTTGTGTCTGCAGTGGGAACGAACGCACAGTAGATATAAAGGAGATAGGTGCAGAAATCCTTTCAACTTGTATGAACGTGACCCACACTTATAGAAATGATGTGATCCAAGTCAGGTCTATGATTTAACAACTTACAACAAACTGAGAAAATGTATGGCAGATTCATTTGAATCAATTGCACAGACAATTAAGAAAGTTAAAAGATTGCAGTATCACAACAAATTGCAAAATACTTACCTGAGAGTTTTCAACATACAGTGTGGACTTCCCAGACCAACCGACAGCTGCTTCACTCCTGAATCCTGCAGATCATTGTTACTCAGGTCCAGCTCTCTTAGGCTGGAGGACTGAGAGCTGATAACTGACGAGAACTCCTGGCAGCATGTCTCTGTGAGGTTGGTTTGATTCAACCTGTCACAGGACAACAGAACAGAAACATTTACTGTTATATTTATAGTATAAATAATATGATGTTTACAAATTGGCTCTGTCAGTTCAGGCACCTTATAGGCACCAGTACCATTTTTTGAAATTCGTTTTAGCACCAGTATCGGGAAAAAAACACAAATGATACCCAATCCTATTTAGGGATGCTGGTGAGTGGATTATGCTACCATCAGACTCAGGCAAGCTGTTTCCAGCCTTGCTGAGCTCTCTATGCTAAGCTAACAAGAAAACAAAACCTTCACACACATTCATCCAACCTGAAAGTTTGGAGTCGACAGTGTGGACTTGCCAGTCCAACAGAGAGCATCTTCACTCCTGAATCCTGCAGGTCGTTGTTACTCAGGTCCAGCTCTCTCAGACTAGAGGACTTGGAGCTGAGAACTGATGAGAACTCTTGGCAGCATTTCTCTGTGAGCCTAGTTTGATTCAACCTAGTAAAATGGGGGGGGAAGCATGTATATCTCATGTGTATGTATCTAAAGTACACATTACAAGTAAAACATCTAATTCTTCAATCCTGTACGCCTTCAAATTAAAAGAATTGTTTCTCACAAACAACCAACAACTTTGAATTTAATCAATACAGGAAAGGTATGACCACAAATAATACAAAACAATAATAATCAGCATACAGTATTATAGTTTAAACTTAGTAATACACAAGAATGTGATCTAACCTGAGAGTTTCCAGACTACAATGCGGATTCTCCTGTCCAGCAGAGAACAGCATCACTCCTGAATCCTGCAGATCATTGTTACTCAGATCCAGATCTCTCAGGGTACAGCACTGGTGGCTGACAACTGAAGCCAGTGTATCACGGCTTTTGTCTGATATATTACAGCCTATCAGCCTGAGGAAGAATTTTAGTCAACTTGGATATTGAATAAAAACATGCTCTTCAACACTAAACATACATTTACTGTGTTACGCCTTTTTTTTTTTCTTTGAGTAAAAAACATTGGGCCATTTGTCCAGTGTGTTGGCAACTACTGTTCGGCCACCAGTTAAAAACAACACATCTGATCTTTGAAAAGGGGAATAATGCACACACACATATTTGCTTATTTGCAGGCTCATAGCCTGTCAGCAGCCTGATAGGAGAGACTGTGACGCAAGCAGGAAATACATTGTCATCTGTGATGGGGAAACATCAGATGTCCACAGTGGAAGAGAAACTAAAAATGTGGGTCCTGCTCATAAAGTTCAGTTCTAAAATCCCACAGTGCACCACGTTGAACTGAAAAAAAAGGTTGATACCAGGTGTAAACAGTCAGATTTAAACAGATTTATATTTAAATTCCTGACCTGAGTTTGTCCAGTGTACAGTGTGGACTTTTTAGTCCAGCTGAGAGACTCTCCACTCCAGAGTCCTTCAGGTCATTGTAACACAAGTCCAGGTCTCTCAGACTAGAGGACTTGGTGCCAAGAACTGATGATAAGTCGTGGCAGCATTTCTCTGTGAGATTGTTGAGGTTCAGCCTGGTAAAAATGAATATAAACATGTTTTGTTACATTTTAGATATTCAACTTCCCAAAGCAACTCGCTGTGAGAATGAAGGAAAAGGTTGAGTGTTTTATTCAAAAGCGCTTGGGAACATTTGTCATTTCAGGAGAAAACTAATTTAAAGTCTTTGGTATAATTAACAACCATACAGTATCTTACCTAAGAATTTCCAGTCTGCAGTGTGGATTTTCTAGTCCAGCTGAGAGGAGCTTCACTCCTGAATCCTGCAGGTTGTTGTTATTCAGTTCCAGCTCTCTCAGACTGGAAGACTGGAAGCTGAGAACTGATGCCAGAGCTTCACAGCTTTTCTCTGACAGGTTACAGCCACTCAGCCTGAAGACCAAGACGAGCCACACATTACAAAAGAAAAATAGACATACGTTTGTTCACAGGTGTTTTTGTACCAATTATCATTTAAAACAAGCCGCTAGTGCTAAATTTCAACCACTGTGGCCACAAGTGACACTTAAGAGATAATATTCAACAGAGCTGCAACTATTAGTAAAAAAAAGTCAGCTATTTTAAATCAATAAATCATTTTGAGTCTTTTTTTAACAAAAAATTCAAATGTTTTGGACAGTTGGTTGGACAAAACAATACATTTGAA